GGGTGACATTGCTATCAGCAAACAAACGACCGCATTGTCAACTTATTTTAATTTTTTTATCATTATTAGGTTTTTTATTTTGAGTACTTACTTTTGAGTTCTTTAACTTATTATATGTAATAGTAGTTATATAAGTAAGATCTCATTATTGATATCGATAAAATGTTATTTTCACCGGGTGAAATGGGGCGTCCATTAATCACGAGATCAATTTTTTAGTGATTTTTGGATCTCACCTCACCCTTGGTGATAGGCCATAATACTTAAAATTACCCCCTCTTTCTCACGAAACATTACGTGTATTTTTAGTTACGAAAAAATCGTATTTTTTAATTTTTTTGAAAATTAGGTAAAAAATTAATACACGTGATATCTTACTAGACCCCTCCTTCCACTGTGTATTTCCACTATGTAATTATTCGTGATTTTTGTCAACTCTCCCTCCTCCTGGAAGCCCCACGTGTTTAAGGGACGCTCCCAATGTGAAAGACAAAGAAATATTTCTTAGAGATATTTTTACTATTAATATTATATTTGTTGATGATAACGTGGATTTTCAATTTAAATATATATGTTTTGATATACATATATGGATGATCCATATATGCATTTTTAATTTAAATAGTATGTTATAAATTTTCTTTATGAAAATGCAGACATGATCTCATATTTAAAAGTGAAAATGGGGGTTTGCTTTTGGCTTAGGCATCCCATTATGAAAGTTATATGGTGAAAAATATTAAGCGGATTAAGTCATTAGTAGTAATATTACAACAAATCAAAGGATTTTAGATATAATTTCTTCATCTCCATATTTGAGAATATGCATATTGCAGTTATACAAATGTGCTCTCTGAATAGAAAACTACGATAAAGTTATTACTTTTAAAAATTGACGCTTAGATTCATCTCAAATAAACAAACTCCATTACTTAAGTAAGTTCTTTTTATCCTTTTAAAATTGATTTCATCCTTTCAACATTAACTTCATGCGTTAATTTTTTACGTAAGCATGTCTCAAAGAGCAAATATGTATAAGATTACATTATAAAGATTAATGATGTAATTTGTTAAGGAGTATATAAATAATTTTCTATCGCAATATTTGCTAGACAATAAAAATATAAAAAATTATTACATTAAACGTAGTAGTGGATATGTTATCAGACAATTTATTTACTTTTTACTGTTAATATATGCACCAGCAAATATTTACTAATTAACTTACAAAAATCTTAATGTATACAATGTTTCTCATATACTCTTATCTGAATGATTTTGCTCAAAATAATACAAATTGATATATACACTATTTATATATGAATAAGAATTAAATTACTTAGGCAGGTTTATAATATTTCAATATTTAAATTAGTACCTTTTAATATCCTACGTTTCTGAAATAAATTCTATTCATCTGCAGTATATGAGAAAATACATATACATATTCAGACAATATTTTGATTATGATATTTTAATATTTTAACTATGTAATTACTCAGGAATACTAATTATTTTCCGATTTTTTATAATATTGTACTAAACTGAAGAGGATAATAATTAAATAAAAGGTAGGGTAAGGTAAGGTTCAATCCAATAATTCCGATAAAATATTAAATTTTATGAGTAAAAAATTTATTTAATATGATTTATAATTATTTCATACTAATACGTTTATTATTAATTCTTGATTTTATATCAAAATTCTCGATAAAATCTTAACAGAAACAAGTTCTTATAGATGAATACTTTTCAAGTCAATGCATACTTCGATTGGGTACTCCGATGCGGTAAGGAATGCTAAATTATTTTTTAACTAACTATAATAATAAATAATAAATGGTAGTCTGCCCGAAGGCAGGTCCATGGTGTGACAGCCACCACAAATAAATGATTTCCTTACCTAACTTTTGCTTCCATACTTCTTGATCATGTGCTTCGGCTTTCAGATCCCTGTATACAATCGTCTGCATTCTTCTTCTTCCCATTCCTTTAATTCCTTCTATTTTTCCATCGACGTCGTCGTTTTTTATAGTGAGGATACTGAGGATTGTGCTCAGTAGAGCCCTTTCTTCGCCCACTCTTCTCAGGACCAGGACTTCTTCATTTTTAATAACTTACTATATGTTAATGTGTTAATTATATTAATGTCTTGTTCAAATCAAAATATGAGTTTTGTGAATGTTAATATCAGAATAAGAAAGTTTGTTGCAGTGGTATTATTTTTATTTTATACTACTATATTTTTTATGTATGCTATACATATACAATGTATATGAAATAATCGAGATTGCAGATCTAGTGTTATCTTTTTCAAGACTAAAAAATAAATTTCAATTGTGCTAGAATCTAACAAGTAAGACCACTTTATCTGATGAGTATAATTTAGTTAATTAAAAATTAAATATCAATATTGGATTTTTAAATTGATTGTAAAAATATGTATGCTTAACTACATCAGCATTTGCTATAAGCAACTATCACTATGTTTATATTTATTTTTTAAGAGATTAAGAAAATACACACACATACACATAGTATAATAAATACATACATAAATACATACATACATGCATACATACATATGTAAATAAATTTTAAAATTAATGGTTAACTATTATTTCTTTGTTCTACTAAATTATTTTTTTACTATCAATAAAATTGAATAGTAATCCATTTCAATCACTCTACATTTTCTGTTAAGTTTTCTAATTCAAATAACTAAATATTTGAACAAAGAATATTTTTATAAAAATTCTAAACCGGTTAAAACCGATTTTCTGGACTACTGAAACCGGTTTAGATCAATAAAAACCCGGTTTTTCTAAAATGTTTTGTATAGAACTGAATTTTCACCTAATGATGTAGGATCGTTGGAAATGTATTTTAAAATCAAAGAATGGCACTATCATTATAGCTTTAACCAAGAATCGATTTCAAGACATGCACATATACTTTTCTAGACAAAAATAAAGAACATATTATTGTTTACCTTATAATAATCATTCAAATAATGCGTGTGTGGTTTTGTTATTCAAATATATTTCGAGTCTCTTTTACCTCGAATTGAATAATTTCGTAAAGAACAAATAAATACAATCGTACTGGCACACCCATTAAAGTTTGTTTAATAAATCTTCACTTAAATTTTATTACTTCGGTATATGTATTTTTCGATCCGCGAAAGCCATGTCGTCATCCAATTCGGTTCAGGAGAAAGTTACACCATGTTACGTTATGTTATGCAGGTGGAACTCATAATAATGTTACTTGCACGCATTATAAACTCATTGGTATTTCAGACAATCAATGAAATCGATAATAAATCTTTTGTTAGTTCAGTAATTGATTATTAATTGGTCATAAACTACAACATAATATTGTACGATGCGGCAGCGAAAATGAAAGGTAATGAATGGCGTTTTAGATTTAAAACCTAACCTAGACAATGCACAAACATAAAAAATTGAATGCTATCACAACTGCATTTTTTTGATTTGTCATTGCAACACATACTTATAAGTAAAACCCCTGACTGCACAGCAAATACGTGGCGTTTTGACAGTTTTTACTACCAATTTATATGAAGTAAGGACCGAAACAGAACGTTGTTATGGCAACGGACCGTAACATAGCGTTGTCATAACAATGTTATGTTGCTATCTCTTTTATCAGAGAGTTAGCCCTAATAGTCTAAGAGCCAGTGAACTATTTTTCTAACCTGTTTTCTGAGAGATAGAATTTATTTTAATGACATTTTGTTATCGACCAATTAAAAAAGTACCATTCTGGCAGTCATTCCGCGATTGCGTCATCATCCCTTCAATTTGTAAAAATGTCATAAAATTTTTTTTCATAGCTTTGCTCCCAAAAGGCTCAAATTTTGAGGGTGTATTCTTTTAACTATTCAGAAAGCATATGTAAAAAGCCAGCCCATTTTGTCGGTTGCAAGGGTTTGCTAGTCGAGTACACAATAATCACGACGCGCAAGGGCGTAGGCGCATTGCCATACATAATCAACTAACACCCTTGTATTTGAATAACTTATACACCATTTTGAAGGTTGTTTTGAAAACATCCGATATACCAAACTTCAACTTTGTATCTCAACTTATGGCCGATATATAATTGAAAATATGCCAAAGTGGCCCCTTTTTCAAACTCAATTTTTGGCGTATCCATAAAATATATCGAAAAAAAGTTTCGTGATTCTACTCATATTGGCTTAGACCACATAATGTATATTAATATATGCTAAATAATCTTTTATTATTAGCTAAAAAGGATAAAATAATTCTTCAATTAATGTGTTCGGATAGTGCGTTTTGTTTAATTACTTTATTATTAGCGTTATTTGAAAGCCTATTGTTTTTCCTTTTAGTACTGCAAATATTGTTAGTAAAAATTGAACAAACCAGTGCCAGTATACGAGATGAATTCCTAAGGCAATTTTCAAAAAATTATTCTGGATTTTCTGTATTATTTCTATATTAGTTTTTTGAGCACTGCTCCACAATTGTATTCCATAGCATCAAATTGGTTTGAATAAAGTTTTATATAAAAGTAGCTTGTTGAATGAGCAATTTGGATTTAGACCCTGATTTTTTTAAATTTTGATTGATTAATTTTTATTAATTAATGACAACAGCAAAGGCAATCAAAAATACATTTTCTATATACACGTAGTATTGTTAACTTCCGGAGGCAAAAGTTTTTTTTGCCAGAAAATCCGACTGGCTAATTTTATGTGTTCTCGACGTTTCAGGTCATTATAATTCATTAAACTACAAATATGTAAAATATGCTTCTGAAATATCTCAGAATAATCATAAGATGTAATAATTATTAATAGATAGTTAAGGTGATTCTTAAAATAATCAATATTACTTCAAGTTCACGCTGTTCTTGATAAAGGTATTTGTTGACTTAAGACAAATTTAAAAATATTGTTTGGCTCGCTGAGTTGGCTAACAGCCTTAGATATTATTTGGCAAGTGAAAATGGCTTCAAGTAATTAATTTGATTTTATTAGTATTAATGAATACATAACAGCAAAAACCACATTATTATTACTATCATGCCATGTGTTGCATTTGATAGATAAAATTTTATAGTTTAATTTTTTATAGTTATTTTTTGTTTACGTATATCGAAAATTTCGTGTGAACATAAAAAATAATGTTATAAATTTATTGACTCGTAAAAATAAAATTTAAACAAATGGCATAAAAAGAACTTACTTAAAAGGTACTATACTTAGAAAGTACACTTATTTAGAACTATTACAACTATTTTTAATAAGTCAAATTTATTGCCTTTTAATAAAATATTTCACCATATATTTATATATTTAATTATATTATATTTTATTGTATTCTTAGGTTTGGGTATGACATGGGCAGCCCTGCTGATTTCGGCATCTGTTCTCATCTTCATAAGTGTCCTGATTTTGTTCTTGAGCACCATGCGATCAGTTGCGAAGAACGAGAGGAGATTCTTATTCAAAGACACCAGTATTGTAGTCGGCGTATATACGGTATGTTATTAATTGATTATTTGCTAATTATTCAACAACAACTCTATTTCTAGATTCTCTTTAACATACGCAGGAAATTTTTTTTAAATGTAAATAACGAAGGTTTTTATCCACTCGGGAGCATATCACGTATGAAAAACATGGTATAATCCAATCCAAGACATTGTTTGGCCTTGCGACTTATATAGTCATTGCATATTCCAATTAATCATATATTGATTATGTTTTAATTTTTCCAGAGTCTTTTAGAATTCTGGATTTGTGTATAATTGTAAACTACTACTTAGGAGAGATAGATATGAGGAACGGGAGAGTGACTTTGTTCTCTTTTCGTGCGACTAAAATAAGATATTTACTTTATATTATTTTTATTTACTATGGTCAATTCTTATTTAAACTATTACTAATTTTACCATAAATTTTATATAGATCTTTAATTTATTCACGCAATGACTTAGAATGTAACTATACGGTGGAGACGCCAAGTACGCCCCAAATTAAAATAACGTAACGAATAATATTGATTTAAAGCTCGGATTATATTATGTTAATCCTCATTTAAGCTCATAATTTGTCCCTTATTAATCGATCGATCAAGATCTTTCTACCCAATTAACAGTTCACGTTGAGTTTTTATTTTACGCTTGTCTTACAATGAACTTTCTTTAAAATCAAATGTTCTATACCATGCAATTGCATTAAAAATCGTATTCCACGACATTCTGGCACTCAATACATATTGTGTTGTTAGTATTATGTTAATTTTATTTATTAATGTTTATGCTTTTTGTAGGTCGTTTGCATGTGCAGCGTGTTCACCTTGTCAATACCAAGAGCCCAACCATTATGCGAAGCTGTATCACAAGTTGTTTTTATGATAGCAGCTTATAGTTTTTATTCTCTGCTAGTCAAAAATTGTTCCAACTGCGATGGTGAATTAAGGGATGTGACAGAAAATACCGAAAAGGTACACACTTAAAATAGTATTCGATTTATGCTGATTATTCAATGTTCATTTAAAAGATTATTCATACATACCAACGTGGTCACATGCTTTTTTGGAATTCTATTATCCTGCGTAAGATAAGATAACGAGTATTTTTCTTTTTATACTTTTTTATATTTTTTATCCAGGCGTCGTCTCTTGCATATGCCGAAGGAAGTAGTTTTTGCTGCGATGGGCCTCAAAGCCAGATGTTAAAATCAATTAAGAGCAAACGGCGGGATGATGCGTGGCTCGTGCTGCAAGCTCCTCCTTGCTGCTGTTGGCCTTTCTGTGGACGACTTTTACCAGAAAGACCATTGAAAGTGTTAGTAGAATTACAATTTTCATAGTATATACAAGATTCAAACAAGTTGAAACTATGCATGTTATCGCAGTAATTATGTGGTTACGTTAAATTTTTTATGTAATTGAAATTATATAAGTTATTACTTTCTATTTTGTATAAATCGATAGCGATATATATTATTTTTTTATTTATATAGATGCCACATTACTAATTTGGGATATTTGGTATTACAAATGCCGTTTACTACATCTGTAGTATACTTTGTTCTTCTAGTCATGGCATCTGAACATCAGGTAAATCAATATTATGATAGTTATAAATTTGCATATCTTATATTGATTTAATATATTTTTTAGAGAATCTACAACACATATTACCAATTTCTTCAACCAATATGCTTGGCTTCTATATTACTTGGCATTTACGGAATAAATGTTACTTTAAAGTAAGTAGATAAAGATTAGATAAATTAATATTTGGAACATTTTTCATACTTATATTGAAGATATTAGTTGGACATATTTTTTTTAACATTTTTAATTACAGTAATTATTTTGACTCTATTATATATGGATTTTTGAATGGATGGCAACCTACTTTATTATGAGGATTTTTGAATGAATGGCAACCCAGTAGTTGTCCAAACCAATCATGACTAATTAACTATACTCGAAGTATTTCCTGACATTTTTATTATATATTTGCAACTATACCCACAAGAGACGATTTTTACTTGAGGCTATATTTGAGATCTTTAACCTCAAGTAGAAATTTGACATCAAAGTTGTCTGATATTGGGCTTTGGTGGCAGCGGGATTCGAACCATCGAACCCGGGACAAGTTGGTGCTAACCCACGTTCAAACCGATATTGCTACATATGGGCCAGTTGGACATATTTAACGTTTTTTTCTGTTTCAATATAGGACTTTGAATTAATGCAACAAGTTAAAAACAATTAAATAATGCACACTTAAAAAATATATAAACTAAATTATGTAAACTAAACAATAGTCTCAGAACCACTTTCGTCAAAAGATTGGCAATGTTGCCATTTATATCGTGCTAGCGAAGTCACCGGATTTAAGTCGATAGTTGTTTAGGCATCTTTTGTTCTCTACTTGAAAATAGTTATAAGTACCATACTTCACTTGATTTTGAGATAATGAGATCTAACTCCCTCTACCCTATGTTGTTTCTAATTACAAGTGGATTTTACATTTGTGTTTTCAGATTGGCATCTGCAGTGTTACCAGAGAGGCCTCTGCAGAATCGGTTCCGGTGTTTGCAGTTAGTGTTGATCAGTACGAAGTTGCAGGCGTTGCTCATCCGGTTGCTTGCCAGCAACGGGGTCGTGCCATGCATGCCGCCATTGGCGCCGGCGCTTGTCTCAAATTGTAAGTTTATTTACCTATTTACATATTTGGACGATTTTATTGAGGTTATTTATATACATTTAATGACATGTGTTCAACACATTCAATTATATATTACAATAATTACTACTCGCAATTCAATTAGATATTACAATAATTACTACTCCCCATATATTAAAATCCAGGAGATATTAGAATATAGCCTTATGATTTTTTCTTTATTTACTATTGACATAACAATATCAAATATTAACTGCTATTTATTTCTACATGTATAAGTTTGATTTTTATCTCAAAATCAGAATTGATAATTCTAAAAATATATATTATATATAAATAATCATAATATAATATTATGATTATTTTTAAAAAAATGAAAAAAGTCAACGATACGTGGTGTTCCCAAGCGGTCTCCCATCTAAGTACTACCCACGCCCGATGTTGCTTAACTTCGGTGATCGGACGAGAACCGGTGTATTCAACATGGTATGATCGTTGACGACTAAATAATGTTGTGTCCAGTTCATAAACGTATAATGAAGGGATTACAAATTATAACTAGCTGTAAGTGGAATTCTGTCTTAAGGCAATTAGGGCATCGTGCCTTGAGGCAAATTGCTGGAACTTCCCGCACCAAAAATTATTATTTTTTTAAAAACGATTAACAATTTTGAAAAAAATTTACTTCGGAAAAATAAGATTTTTGACAAACAATTAGACAAAAAATTACTTTTTTTCGAAAAAAAAAATTTTTAATTTTTTTTTTTAATTTTTTTTTTTTTTGAAAAAAAATGTTTTCTCTATTTTGACATATTTTGAAAGATATAAACTTTTTTTCAAAGCAATCGTACTGCTTTAATTGCATAAAGACGAAATATCAAACAGCGTAAGCGCCCCGTCGACGTCTAACGCGTAAACATTGGTACGGAACCCATAGGAATGTAAACCAAAATTATACTTATTGTTAAAATCTCTATAAAATATCTGATAATTTGATGTGCATATGTCTAATGATCATTTTTGACCGCCAAATGGCATTTTTTTTACTTTTTTCATTAGATCTCCGAAACCGCTAGACCTGCCTTTATGTAAATTTGATCGGTTCTTCACCTTGTCAATACAAGTAAAATGTTTTTGAATTATTAAAATCGGACGCTCCGTTCTCTTAAAACTGAGTTACCGTTTTCGGCACTTTTTGCCCCGTATCTTCGGAACGGCTAGACCTGACTTCGCCAAAAACTAATCAGCACGTCTCCTTATCAATACGAATCGAATGTTTTTTGAATTATTCAAATCGGTTGATCGGTGTTCCCGAAATCGTCGACGAAAATTTGTATCCGCACATACATACACACACGCACACACACACACACACACACACACACACATACATCCATTTTTTCTAAGGTATGCCAAAATATTCAGAAACCTTTGAAACGTCGAGAAAAGTAAAAATTTTCATTTTCGATTTTTTGCGATTACTATAACTTGCCCTACGGGAAGTTAAAAAAGTAAAATATAATAAGATATTCATATTTTCATCTTCCATAAAAGCATCTTTTATAATGTTTCCAGAATAAACGATATATTAATATTGGGTTATTCTGGAAATTGCCATGCATATTAATGCATGACGTGAAATATGTAAAAATATATAAATAAGCCAAACACGCCTGAAAGTTATATTACAATATTATTGTTTAAACGAAAGTTTAACTGGCAAGAAATTAGTTGATAATTTCGTATAAGTGCGTAAGTATAAACAGGGTTCTCAACGCCCGCATGCAATTTTTTTTTGGCCACGCCCCCCAATAATTTTAACAGTTTTAACAGTTTATCATTAAAATTATAAAAATATTTACGTAAATTTTTTAATTATTTTTAATCATATCAGATTTAGTACATAAAAAATTAGATATAATGTAAAAGCGTATGAAATATATCGATATTAAATTTATTTAGAAAATCGAGGCAATTTGCGGATTGATTGTTGTAAAATATTTTTAAATTTTTAAATATTTCTAACATATGTCTGATATTAGTATTTGGGTTTTGAAACATTTTACTTATTTACTATGCTATATATAAAAAATATATAATAAATTTTATTTCCGAACCTCGTTTTGGCGCCCCCTAAGGCATGCGCCCGCACTTTTCGCATGCATTGCATTCAAGGTAGGACCGGCCCTGAGTATGAATATTTCAACTATCTCGTGCAGACAAAATCAGTTATAATATATTTTATAATTATTATAATTTCATAATATTGGCCAAACTCCAATAAATAATATAAACTATATGTCGGTATGAGTGAACCTATTGTTTGATATTAGCAGATTTCTTAATATACATTATTGCAAAAATTAATTATTAAACGTCAGAATTATTTATTAACTATGTTAAGTATTAATTTCTCGCATAAAATTTTTCAATTCTTATTAATATTATTTATTTTTATTTTTCAGTAATTCAGAATTCGCTGGTTCTCTGTGAAATGCTGCTTTTAGCTGTTTGGGCGCGTTTTATTTACAGAAATCCAGTATCCAAGCAGGTAATTTATTTATAAATAATTGTTAATAATTTTATTTTTTTTGTTTTTTTATTCAACTAGTTAGTTTTATTTAACGGTGGCAGATGATATAATTTATAATTATCACACAAAATATAGCCGGGGTATATTTATACCATAGGTTCCCAAACTTGTTTGTGTCGTGGACCCCTTAGACTTCGCCATAGACCCCCTATTTAGCCGATATCGATTTTTTTTATAAATGTGTATTTGTACTAACGTTTTGTATTAAACATTTGAAGTTTATTATATATTTATTAATTGACTTCAGAATGATAATAAAATAGATAAAAACGAGGTTTGTTGTGATCCACTATCGTGGATCTCCATGATTCTTTTTCGTTGGCGTGGGCCCCCTAGAAGTGGTCATGGACCACTTTGGGAATCAGTGTTCTATACTAACATAAAAAAATGTTTTTGATGCAATATTTAAGTAGTTAGACAAAATATTATTTCCAGGATGAAAATACCCCTATAAATATTGCAGTAAGTGCAAGAAGCGACAACAACAACGCTGTTTTAGGAAATCCTCAAATTGCAAGGCCTTGGACTGGATCGAAGGATAATGCTTTTGTGATCGAAAATCAGTACGGAGATATGACTAGTCCAGTAAAACAAGCGGCCAGATCTACCAGAGACAACACCAGGAGTGATGTGCACATGTAGTACAAGATCTTAATATGAATATTAACTATATTACTTGTTACTTGCAATGGATTATGCGAACTTTCGAAGTAGTCGATCTGCGCGTTTCTGTATATATATTTTTTAAATGCATTAGCATTAGTAAAAGTTTAATTCATTTGTAAACTGATCTGAAGGAGGAATTTAAACTCATATATACAGCTGAAATCCATTCGCTTTATAAATGTAACATATATTTTGTGGCCTTATGAAATTTGTGGCATATAATAGCATATAGTGACAATAATTGCATTTTTTGCAAGACCGCTTTGAATACTACAGGCAATAAAGATTCAAATAAATAATTAAACATTATCATATTATTTAAAGAATAAATTTATTTTAATAAAATATATATATTTTAACTACTGTTAAAATAGCGGAATTGCAAATATTATACAATTATTGCTCCTGGTTAGATCTAGATTTATTATATTAAATTATAAATGCAGTTTATACATTAATTTAATTGCATTCATAAAGCTAGTATTAAATAGTAAAAAAAATCTACAAATAGCAGATAAATATATTCTAGGAGGAAATGATCAGTAAAATACATTTGCACAAGTATTAATTTGTGCAAATTTGAT